GAGGACGTTCGTTTGGTAAACAAAAAAGGTTTCATACCTCTGTTTTCGCGATTGGAATTTCCTGCGAATGGAACTTCCGTAAATTATATATGATAAAATGGTCCGATGTGGATAAGATTTTATACAGACAGGTAAGGAGAATAGTGCAAGTATTTAATTGTAGCTATACCTATACCTATATAATATACAGAAATAATAGCCTTGAGGTACAGGTAGACGGGAGTTTATATATATATATATATATCAAGAACTCAAGACTTAACTAATTAGACAAACCAAAAAAAGCGTTGATTCGAGACTATTGCTGCGTTTACGCCATGAGTCATGATTTTCTAATTCTGCTAAATTAAACAAAGCCCCGTTGTATGCTACATTTTCAAAGTAAACCACCTAATTTTTTTTTTAACAGAATCAAGCATTAGTCAATTTATGCAGTCTTTTAGGCGCAATCGGCCGCTAGTATAAGGAATTAGTATTAGTGCGAAGTATTAAAAGATTTTCTTTTCTGCAAATCTCAAATTGATTTATTTTATTCAAGTACAAGCAAATATTGTTTGGATGATCGATCAATGTACGATAATAATATAATATATATGTATCATCTTATATGTTTAGAGCAGTGTTTGGTTTCTTTTTATATTTCTATATATTTTACGTGTTGCAGTTGTATTATTATAATATAACTTTCAAGAGCAGTTGTCGTTTGTTCTTGTGGTTGGTATTTTCTAATTTAGAATCCAAGTTGAATATGTTTTGTGTAAAATGTAAATTGTGTTGATTTATTGTGTGGTTTTTGGTTGGCGAGTTGTTTAATCGACCTCCTCAATGGTGGGGCCAGCACCGCCGGCACCAGCAGCTCCGGGAGCAGCGCCTGCGCCAGGCATACCTCCAGGCATACCGCCGGGCATGCCACCGGGAGCACCACCGGCGCTCTGGTAAAGCTTGGTGATGATTGGATTGCAAACGCCCTCCAGCTCCTTTTGGCGGTGCTCGTATTCCTCCTTATCGGCCAGCTGATTGGCATCGAGCCACTTGATGGTCTCGTTGCACTTGTCCATAATGGTGGTGCGATCCGAGTCCGAAATCTTGCTCTTCAGGTTGTCCTCGTCGAGGGTGGCCTTCATGTTGAAGCAGTACGACTCTAGACCGTTCTTGGCAGAGATGGTCTCCTTCTGCTTCTCATCCTCGTTACGGTACTTTTCGGCCTCGTTGACCATGCGCTCAATATCTTCCTTGGACAGACGACCCTTGTCGTTGGTGATCGTAATCTTGTTCTCCTTGTTGGTCGAACGCTCCAGGGCGGTAACATTCAGAATACCGTTGGCATCAATATCGAAGGTCACCTCAATCTGGGGCACACCTCGTGGTGCTGGTGGGATACCCGACAGCTCGAATTTGCCCAATAGATTGTTATCCTTGGTCATGGCGCGCTCGCCCTCGTACACTTGGATCAACACACCGGGCTGATTGTCCGAATAGGTGGTGAAGGTCTGCGTCTGCTTAGTGGGAATGGTGGTGTTGCGCTTAATGAGCACGCTCATCACGCCACCAGCAGTCTCGATACCCAGAGACAGGGGGGGTAACATCGAGCAGCAGCAGATCCTGCACCTCCTGCGACTTGTCACCGTGCAAGATGGCAGCCTGGACGGCAGCACCATAGGCAACAGCCTCATCGGGATTGATGGACTTGTTCAGCTCCTTGCCGTTGAACAGATCCTGCAACAGGCGCTGCACCTTGGGGATACGAGTGGAGCCACCGACCAGCACAATATCGTGAATGGCCGACTTGTCCAGCTTGGCATCACGCAGAGCCTTCTCCACGGGATCCATGGTGCTGCGGAAAAGATCAGCGTTCAGCTCCTCGAAACGAGCACGCGTAATCGAGGTATAGAAATCGGTACCCTCGAACAGCGAATCAATTTCAATGCTAGCCTGGGTGGAGGAAGACAGCGTACGCTTTGCACGCTCACAGGCGGTGCGCAGACGACGCAGAGCACGCTTGTTGGTGGTCAAATCCTTCTTGTGCTTGCGCTTGAACTCCTGTACAAAGTGAGTGACTAGACGATTGTCAAAGTCCTCACCACCCAAATGGGTATCACCGGCCGTAGATTTGACCTCGAAGATGCCGTCATCAATAGACAGAATGGAGACATCGAAGGTACCGCCGCCCAAATCGAAAATCAACACATTACGCTCTCCAACAGCCTTCTTGTCCAGACCATAGGCAATGGCCGCGGCAGTTGGCTCGTTGATAATACGCAATACGTTCAAACCGGCGATGGTACCAGCATCCTTAGTCGCCTGACGCTGTGAGTCGTTGAAATAGGCAGGCACAGTGATGACGGCATTGGTAACCGTCTTGCCCAGGTACGCCTCGGCGGTCTCCTTCATTTTGGTCAACACCATGGAGGAGATCTCCTCGGGGAAGAAAGTCTTCTTCTCATCCTTGTACGTAACTTCAATCTTGGGTTTGCCATCAACGCTAACGACCTCGAAGGGCCAGTGCTTCATGTCGGATTGCACGGCCGAATCATCGAATTTGCGACCAATAAGACGCTTAGCATCAAATATCGTTTGAGTTGGATTCATGGCCACCTGGTTCTTGGCGGCATCACCAATCAAACGCTCCGTCTCCGTGAAGGCAACATAGGATGGGGTGGTACGATTACCCTGATCGTTGGCAATGATCTCAACCTTGCCATGCTGGAACACACCCACGCAAGAGTAGGTTGTGCCCAAATCAATACCAACAGCTGGAGCTTTAGACATCTGCAATGAGTGAAATAGAATAATTTGTGGATTAATTGATTAGATTTAATTTTTTTTTTATTTAAAATTGTGTCAACGAACTTTGAAAAATTTGTGTTGTCTGGCAACTCTGTTAAAACAAACACAAAGCTGTGCATATTATTGGAAATTGGAAAGCAAGTGCTTAATCGGTTAAATGAGGACACTTCGGACAAAACAATATGGTCATATTTTAATGGTTTTATAATCAATTAATATTATTTTACATTACTAGACACATATATCTCCATGTAGCTAGCGCATTATAACAAACTAATCAATTAATTTTGTAGAAAGCCTGAGGCTGCAACCCTGGCCATGAAAGTAGTAAAATAATTGTTCACAACGCTTTTCGCCTTGTGTTTGTAATTCCTTTTGCGCTGAATTTCATGTCAACGGAAACTGGTTGCTAATGTCACAGTCAACACCCAAAACGGTGAAACGTGAGCATATGACTAACTATAATGGCCGAGGCACTTATGTATGTACATATATACGTACATATACATGTACATACAACGATCAAAAAGATAAACTGACAGATAACAATGGAGTTTCATTTCAGCAGCAGCTGCTAATTTTCATTAAAAGGTGCAAGCACCGCATGGACACAAAGGCGAAAATTCTGGAATGCTTGAAACCCCAAGCATGCACACACATAAGTGTGTATCTATATGTACGCAAAACCACGCCGTTGCCAGAGCGTTTGGATTGCACAATTTGTCGTGCGTAAGAAAGAGATGAAGCTAGTATACAAGCACGCGCGCGCTAAATTTTATATGTATGCAAGTTTGAAAGGTTTTAATTCCATCTACGCGTGCACACGCATACATTGAAATGCCGGTTAGCAACCACGCTTAAATACAGCAAATAAAAAAACTATAAAAACAAAATTTTCAACAGTTAATATTAAATTAAAAGAAATAAAATGTTCGAATAATAAATATAAAAGCGGACGTCAGCAGCCGACCATCATCATGACTCATGATGACATGAGTAGGTAGCGTGCGTGTGATGCGGCATATTTTTTCAATGGAATATTCCAGTACAACCACACTTAAAATAAATCCGCACATTACGATAAGGCATCAAATACAAACGTATTTATATCTACGTATATGCAAGGCTTTAATTATTTATTAGAAACCACAAAAGCAATGCAAAATCGAATGACGCAATATATATGCATGTACTATGGTAATTACACACGTTTAAGTGCTCGAATGTATGTACATACATACATGCCGTGAATGTGCATTTATATATGTACATATAAGTACCTCTGTTCAAATTCTAAAGATTAATCACTTGCAACCTTATTTTTTTAAACTTAATTTACAATTTCGAAAGCTACAAATTACAATGAACTACTTTTAGTACCCGTAATGTAATTATTGATTAACGCCGGAAAAAGCACATGTTAGTCACTGGAAATTTGTTTCTGTGCAAACACGCGGCATTGAGCACGTGCAAAATTTAGCGTGCATTGCTTTATGTTAATGTAAATTGTTAAAAAAAAAACTTACCTTTATGTGTTGCTTAATTAAAATGTACTAAATATATGGATAAACGTGTAATTGCTTCTTCACTTCTTTGTCCCACTTAAATTTCTTTCTGTCGAGTCGACACTCAGACGTTCGATCAAACTGGCACTTGTAATAGGAATAATGATGGCGTACGATGGTGCCTTTACTTATAGGCGCGTTGCCCTGCTCTGGAAAATTCTAATATTATGACCTGATGTGGCAAGGCTGGCCAAAACAGTGTTGCTCTAGTAACTTTCAGTATTTATCGAAAATAATCAAATGCTGTAGCCCTGCTTGCTATATTGGAGCTGACATGCAGATAACAAGCGCGGGAAATTTAAAATGTTGCAAAAACAAATTTTTATAGCACTGCAGTCATAAATCAATAAAAAGTAATAACAATATTTGTGTTATCAAGACCCCACATCGAAAGCATCAAGTAGCTAATGGCACGTGTTATCAGCCATACTTGATATACTACTGATATAGACAGGATTAGAATGGAAATTGGTATTTTATAGGTATATGTGCACTTTATCAACAGATTAGTGGCCAGCTACATACGCTTTAAACATATTTATCGCGTTACTTATCGTAATGAGATGTATGTCAAAATTTATAAGTGGATAACTTGCTTTAGTGCTAAGCACATTAAACAAATTAATCAGCCTTATTTACGACCATCGAGCTTACAATCCGGTTCAACTCCATCAAAAATTGGAGAACTTTCACTGCCTCCACCTTCTCCTCCAGTAATAATTTTCAGAAGATCCGGTATTTTGCTATTGATCAGCTGCAAAGAGAACAAAAATTATAAAAATCATGTTTTCAATGCCGCTTGCACAAATAACCCACCGTTTCGACCTTGTCGACTACCGTGTTCTGCTCATAGTCCCATATATCACCTAGCAATTCAACTCCCATTTCATTGACCAAGGCATGTACGAAATCATTAATGCGCTTCTCTTCCAACAGATTTTCAAAGTTAATTTTCAAATCTCCCATACGCATTTCAATTTGTAAGCCTGTGATAGCTAAAGACGTCGACGCTTTAATTCTCCATGAGATTTCGAACGAAAAGTCTTCAATTGACGCCCTAAGAGTGGAACGAGATGAAATAAATGGTTTTCAAATAACCACTTCTATATTCCTTACTCTGCATTGCCGTCGCCAGACAAATTCAGAATATAGGCCAACGAACCCTTGGCGGTATATAGGGATTTTAAATAGGTGTGTGGAAAGGTGACATTAATCGTACTCCTCGTCACTCCAGGAATAACATTTATTTTAAGCGTATTTACAATGAAATCCGAAAGACCATTCAGCTTAAAGTCCTCAATCGAACCAGTAAAGCTACAAACAATTAAAGGATTACATACATTACATGAACAGAAAAAATGTTCGGACTTACTCGACAAGGTATTTATTATTCACAGCTGTCTCTGCAGGACCTAGCTCTAATGGATCCAATGCGGGTAGGCCCAAATTCGGTATCGGATGGCACATTCGCATACGAAACTCCTCTAGAAATACCTGAATTGTTTCCTCATAGACGCACGCAACTGGCGACAGGCAACTGTAGATCGTGGCCACGGCCAGAAGCATCTGCCATAGGTAACCGGTCTGCATGTTGCTAAACTTTGGAGATCCGTTTGCCGGGGGCTGAAGCACGCGACTGATTTACCAATGCAAGTTTTCGGTTTTTGTCAAGTGCGCCCATTTCCAGTTCCCATTATGAATGTCAAGATATGACCACAACCAATTCATGAAATACCCTTGCATAGTAGGGTATATTTGCTGAGCAAAAACAAACAAAAGTGTTTAGACCCTTGCATAGGGAATAATAATAATGTCTATAGCTGCCTCTTCAATATATCCACACGATTTAGCAAATATAAGCCTTACTATGAGCGTCATCTTATTTAAATTTGACATCAATATGTTACAGCTCCTTTAGGAACAATCGGACAAAAAGGGCTTGCCTAAGGGATTTGTTCTTCAGTGATATTTTTATTACATAAGCTGTTTTAGGGTATACGACATAAGTGTGTTTTCTCGTTTATTGTAATTTTAGTATTAAGACCAAGGCTTATCGCTAAAAAGCTGGTGGGGCCTTAATGGATTGAGCCAATAACAGGTCTAACCTTATCAATGCTACTATTTTCGATTAACAATAGCACTTTATTTGTTTTTCACTATTGAAGAATAATCGCAAGGCTACGGTTAAATCGTTTCATTGGCTGCGTTATCAAACATAAAAGTTAAATATGTAGGTGGAAGGCCTACAACTACCAGAGTTAATATCTAATCTAATGCTAAACTTGTTCTGGCGGCTGTCGCAAGTGCTCGGGGATCTGCTGCAGCTCCGTTTTAGACGCTTGCAGCGCCACGCCTTCGGGCAGATTGCGTTCAATGTACTCTAAGAATGTGTCCAGCGTTGAGCCCGTCAGCTTGTGAAAGTTCATGTAGCGAAAATGTGTGCGTATCTCATATTGGACGCGATGCTTCTTGTAAATGTGCACTGACTTTAGCAGGGTCATGCGTTCGTGGTGCGCCTTCCGAGGAGACCAGCTGCAAGTGGTTGAATGTGCATTTAATATGGATCTATTGCTGTTCAGCTTCAGCCGGTACCTACCACTTGCCTAGCTCAATGCCCAAATGCTCAGCAGCGGTTGTAGCAAACCAGGTGTAACTCTTCAGCACCGCCGGATCTATGCCTCGCAGCTCGATTTCCAATTTACTGTAAAGTTTGTCGGGCTCGCTTACGGTGGCAGGAGGCGTAGCTTCCGTGCTTGGTAAAGTTGCTGCTGCAGTATTGCTAAGTGCGGAAGCAAAGCGCGCTGGCTGCGTCAGACGTAATGTCTTAAATAGCTTAAATAGACAAACAAAAATAACAACATTAGTTTTAAGTAATCAATAAAATTTAAATCAAATGCTCACCTGAAGCATTTTGTTATTGCAGCTGGAAACCAGAAACAGGGTTATGCAAGTGCAGGGCCGCAAAACGTTGATTACCTATCGATAAACAGTAAACATTGAATTTTGCCGGGGTGTGGTAACACTGACACTCTTTGCACGTGCAGCCCAATAAGAGCGCTTTTAAACTTTATTGTGTATAGCAATTTGTTTTTATTTTTAATTGTAGCTTTTGGCATTTTAATTGGGAACTAGATTGTATATTTACATAACATGAAAAACACAGATCAGAAAGGTAAGTGCAATAAGAAAAGAAAATATGACGCGCTGACAACAGAATTTTCACCGACAGCAAACGAGTCCACCGAGCCCAGCTCCGATGAAGAGGCATACGACGACATCGAGGATGACGAAGAAACGGGTGAGGACGAGGGAGAACCAACAACTTGTTTGTTTTGCACGCAAGTTTTTCTCAGTATTGATCTGGCCATCGAGCATTTAAACAGTCAGCACAAAGTAAATTTGTCGCAGCTCAAGCAGAAATTCCAAATGGATCAGTATGCTTTTATTAAACTAATAAATTACATACGTGGAGGTCAAGTCAGTGCAGAGCAGCTGCTACTAACAGAGCAGCCACAGTGGAATAATGAAAAGTATCTTAAACCCGGAGACTACGAGCCATGGCTGTGCTATGACTACGATGCGCTCAAGACTGACGAAACGGAGACAGCTGCTAGCGTTCCGGCGCTGATGCAACGCATCGCTGAGCAAAGCAAACTACTGCAACAGGCCAGTGAGGATATGGAAAGGATGCGCAGCGACTATAAAGCACTTCTACAAAAGGTGCACAGCGATGTGGAGGCAGGCGGAAAGCCAATGCCATCAACCAGCAATGGCGTTGTGCGCAACGCTCCAACGCTGGATAAAGAATACTTCAATAGCTATTCCCACTTTGGAATACATTACGAAATGCTCAGCGACAAGGTAGAGAATCATTTTACATAGTGGTGCTCCAATAATAATATTTGTCATACCAATAGGTACGCACAAGCAGCTACCGTGCAGCTCTAATGCAAATCAGAAATATTTGCAAGGCAAGTCGGTGCTTGATGTGGGCTGTGGCACAGGTATACTTTCTATATTTGCATCTCAAGCGGGCGCCGAGACCGTCGTGGGCATTGACAACTCGGAGATTGTCTATACCGCTATGGACATAGTCAGGTGAGCCAGTTTTCTAAGCATTTCAAATAGGCATACATTATACATACATTTTGTAATTATTTATTGTTGTGATCATTTTTATTGAATATCCAAAAAGTTGCAAACTTGTTACTCTTTCCCATATTTGCTTTAAAATATCCATGTAAATAACTCATATAAGGGAGAATCGGGAGAGATATCGAAATGCGTGGAAAATGTATTAATAATTAAGTGTGCGAACTGTATCACGTCAAATTGGAAAATGATATAAAGAAATTGATTGGAACAAATACTAGAAGAATCCATCTAAAATGTAGTTGGACTAAAAAACTGTACATCAATTTTCAGTCCATCGAAGTTTGACTGCGCTACGTGCCCAGTGTCAAATTCTGAACCCATTTTAATGAATATTATTTAATTATAATGAAAATTCTCTTACATTAAATAAGTGATACCATATTTATTACAGTCTCTTATTTGATCAATGAATAACCATATTCAATGTTTCCTTTGACAGGAAAAACAATGTTCAAAATGTAAAGTTAGTAAAGGGAAGACTGGAGGACACTGTACTGCCAGAGGACAAATACGATGTCATCATATCCGAATGGATGGGCTATTTTCTGCTATACGAGGCAATGCTGGACACAATTATCTATGCACGCGAAAACCATTTGAAGCCCAGTGGCAAAATTCTGCCCAATCGCTGTACGCTGCATTTGCTTGGTATAAATGAGGCGCTGCATGAACAACACGTTGAGTTCTGGTCGGACGTTTACGGGGTTAATATGAGTGATCTGCGCAAGCGCAGCATTGAGGAGCCCCTAATGGAGGTGGTCAATCCTGAGCATATACTGACAGAGAGCGAGCAAATTGCCAATTTTGATATGATGACCGTGGATCTTAACTATTCGAATTTTTACGCATGAATTCCATTTAAAGTGCAAGCAAACGGGTAAATTGGCTGCCTTTGTGGGTTACTTTGACACGTTCTTTGAAATGGATAGCCAAATCATGTTCAGTACATCGCCAGCCGAGACGCCCACGCACTGGAAACAGACGGTCTTTTTCATAGACCAGCCACAAACGGTGCAAAAGGATCAGGTGATAAGCGGCAAGATCAGCTCCCGGCGCCACCAGGGCGATGTGCGTGCACTGCATGTGGATATCGAGGCCTTTGGCAAGCATTATAAGTACTCGGTGGATTAGTTGGTCTTCAGATTGTTTTAATGCAAGTTTTTTGTAGACAAAATGTGAGCTTATTTAATATTAAAGGTATCTAATATATAAATTAAAATGAGTACCCGCTGCCAGGTAAGCTGGCGCAGTGCTGTTGCCAAAAACAATTTTACATATATTTATTATGGGAGCGGGGAGGGGGGCGATAGAGAAACAGATGCCAAAACATAAAATAATGTTGCTTTAAGCAGTGTTTAGTTTCCAGATCGGAGGCGGGTATTTCGGGTTCCTCATCGTTGTACACGTTCTCGGCCATTTGCCATACTTGCATGATATTGTCCTCCGACACAGAGCATATGATCCATGGCTCATTTGGGTTCCAGGAGAAGTCGCTGATTTTGGCCGTATGGCCACCGTGTATGAAAAGTAGTTCGGGCGGACCATCTTCGGCATCTTCAGAGCTCTGCTCCTCGCCAATTTTCGATAAATCCCACACATGTAGACGCCGATCGGTGCCCGAGGAAGCCAGAATGGTCTCATTATGGGGCGACCATTGCACCTGAAAGATTTCATCCTTGTGCGACTCAAAGGAATGTAGTTTTAACTTGAGATTACGCAAATCCCACAAGGCGACCGTTTTATCCGCAGATCCCGTGGCCAATATAAATTCTGAGTAAGGATTAAAGCTCAAACAATTTACTTCGGCCGTGTGCGCATCAACGGTGTGCGATGGTTTTGATGTGTTGTTGTTGCGCGTATCCCAAATCATCAGCTTCTGATCATCGGCCACCGAACCGAAGAGTGATTCATGAAGCAAATGCCAAGCCACATCCTCAACGACGGCGGTATGGCCAGTGAATATATTCTTCGCATCGATAACGCGATGCTCCTTGGGCGTGGCATTGATATCCCACAAGCAGATGGTGTGATCGTCCGAGGCCGAGAGCAAGTAACCTAAAGGCGGAAGATGATGAGTAAAAACAGAACTACATAAAAATGGGTTATAAAAAGAAAAAAAAAAAAGAACATTTTCACATGGACACTGCGACACGAGTATTGATAATGTTGTCCTTGGTGGGATCTGAGATGCCTCCTTCATTGGGTAACACATTTCGTCAAAAAATTATAAAGTCCAATCTAGCACTGGTATTTAAACAATTCATTGTGGAGCTATCCTCGAGCTTACCATTCAAATTGGGATTCCACGACAGACCGTAGCCTTCCTTCTGGTGTCCTCGCAAACGCAAGTCCGGCTGGCATTCGCCGGATGGTTCCGGTTTGCTGGGATGCTTTTGTATAGTCAAATACGAGAACATCGCTTGAGGGAGTTTTTGGTAGCAATAACGCAAGCATTTTGCGGCATGTAGCGTGCTCGGTTGACTTCCCCTTCGTGATTGATCTTGATTTCAATCTCGTATTTTACCGCAAACTGAGCCAAACCCACCGAATTCGCCCTTCTCGTTATCGTAGTGGGAGCCATCGAACTGTGCATCCTCACTAGGCAGTTGGACGCTGGCAATCAGCAAATGATTCTGTTCATCCGAGGTATGTGTGCCCAATATCAGGCGATAACGGAGTAATCTTTGCATCCTGTTTGGTTACATCAGGCAGCCATTGCGCCGTCAGTGAAGGCCATTCCAGAGCGTGCGTCATGACCAGGTCGTAAAGAAATGGAGTGTTCTTTTTCCATATCTTGTACTCTTCGTTTAATCACACGTTCCTCGACGGCATCGTCAAAGGATTCCGCTGCTTACAAACAAAGTGTTAGAATTCGGCCATTTGAACAACGTTTGCCATGTTTGTTACTTACCATTATCGCTGCGATCAACCATTTTAGACCACGCAGCCAAATTATAATTTCACGCAAATTTTTGTGCGCGTCGCAAATTCGGGCGCCAAAACAACAAAGCGGTGGCGGCAAAAGCGTGCTGTCGGCAAAATTTTACAGGCTTTGCGACTTCGTATTAAACAAGCGCTCTAGTTAATAATATAATACTTAAGATAACTCTTAAATTTTTATTATAAAAATTGAAGGTGCTCTTGGACTTTTTGCAACAATACTGTTAGCAAAAGTAAGAAAATTATCTTCCTTTTTTTTTTGCAAGCGCGTCGGCTGCTAGATGCGGCAGAGATGTGTAGAAATGTTATCGGTAGGAATGTAAGAAGTCGATTAGTCCAACACAATTGAATTTTGGTGTACAATGATTTCAATCGATAGTTTTATTTGTGTATTACATGCATGCATACGTTTCGTATTTAATCATTTTTCACTTCAAACCTACCTGCTTACAATGCATTGTATGGTTAGTTATAATAGCCTTCGCCAAATCGAAAATTCGATATTTAAAATGGCTCGTCATCGATAGTTAGCAGCTCTAACTTTCTAGTTGACAATCGCTCAAAAATATCGGAGATTCATCGCATAGTTTTTATTTTTGCTGTACGACACTCGACAATCGTGGCCGCCACCGCGCTATCGGCAATTTTTAATTGCTTATATTTATAAAAATACGCAAACAAGTTAAGCTTCGCCATCGCAAATGGAAACGTGATAAAAACTAAGATAAATAGAAACCACCCCCGATTCATTCGGACATTCTTTGTGTGGGGAACTAAAATGAAGAATTACAGCTTTGGATTACATGGGAAAAAGCTAGTTTCGATAGTTGTTCGATTCCCAAAAAAATTCAACGGGCAAAAGTAGCATGCTGCATGTGCACGTACAAAATGTTTAATAAATTAGAATTTAACAATTTGGTAAGTAAACAAAATTTGATTTAGCGCAATAATAACGAAAATTTACCATAGGTCATTACCAACAAGAAACATATACAACAAGCGCGTGCCCAAACCATTGCAAGGGTCGTGAATAAATTGCGCAAATTGAAGGATGAACTGAAGAGGAAACCGGAAAGTGAAAAACATCAGGAACGATTACGCAAAAGCGTCGAGTGTATTCTGAGCTTAAGTCGCTCAAATACATGGACATTATGCGTACGCTGCTGCTGCAAATGGGAAAAAAATCACAAGGCGTGCTGACCAATGGTCGGGCAACGCCGGATGAAGTAGCTATTGCCATGTTGGGGCTAAACAAAATCATGCAAATGCTGGTGGCAGGCATTTCAACAAGCCTTGGATCTTGGTAATAAAGCCAATGACGACTGGCGTACTGCAATATTGGAGACAAGCAAGCGTCGCCTCAAATTGGAACGAACCGAGGAAAAGCGGCGTAAACGTAAAGAGCTCAAAGAACAGAAAGCGCAGACACAGCAATCGTATGATCTGGTTGCAACAAAATCAACCACCTGGCGAAGGCAAATGCGAGCAAAGTGTCATAAATACAGCAGCTGGCGAATGCCAGATAGAATGTCCGCTAACTCCGAATCTTAAAGGCAATGTGAACATCAAGGAAATTCAAGATAACGCAACGTCCACATCTTCAGCAGATTTATTGGAGGCAACTAAACAGAAAAGGCCCAAATGCAATGAGAATCTACAGAAAGTACAAGAAAAGTCAAAGAAACGAAAAGCTGGGCAACCTGAAATCGGAGAAGGAAATAGGATAGAAGAAAATTCTCCGCAGTTTAAGGAAATGGTTGTTAATCCCAAACGCAAGAAAATCAAGGAGGTGGGAAATAAACCGAAGCAGAAGAGAATCAAGTGCAAACTAACAGGAAAAGAAGGAAATGAGTTGTTGTAGAAAATAAAACACAGCGTGAGAAAGCAGGCGCCATTCCCAATCTTAAAGAAAAGCAGGAAGTAGAAAACAAACCGCTGCCCGAGAAAGCTGAGGTCAACCGCAAACGCAAGACGGCCAAGGAACCAGAAAAAGAACGACCCACCCATGTCGTCGATCCCTTTTTCATTACAGAATCGGGACAACCATATCTATCAACTGCAGTTGTTTTATCCGGTGATAGCCATAATGAATCGGATGATGATCAACATGTGGAGCAAAGAAAACGCAAACCTCTGGCCAAAAAGCAGGAATATAACAGTTCACGTTCCAATGAACGCCATAACTATGACCGTCCCAATGAACGCCACAACTATGAAAGTTCCAATGAACGCCATAACTATGAACGTTCCAATGAACGCCATAACAATGAACGTTCTAATGAACGCCATCCCATCGTGGATGGCCAAGCAGCAGCAAAAGCCGATTTAGCCAACTATAAGGGCAAGAAAACCAAGTTTAATGACGATGACAGTGTTGCGGAATATCAACTGCTCCAGTTGCACAACCATCTCCCACCGATGGTGAAGCGGGTGCAGCCGGCATGCATCCGTCTTGGTTAGCCAAGCAGAAGCTGAAGCCAAAAATTGCCAAGTTCACCGGCAAAAAATCAAGTTCGATGATTAATCACGTTTGGGTTATGTTTATTTTAATATATGCAAAACATTTCTCAAGCATCCACCTTGGGCACAAAATGTCCACGCGCCTTATCGCTCCTGCGCAGTTTCTCAATGTCCACGTCGGAATATTTACGTTTTAACAATTCCAAGTCAAAGTTTGGATTACGTCTTAGTTCATCATGACTTCATTGCGTGAGCGACTGAAATAAATGTTTATAGAAAAATTAATTCTCGCTCGGTTTCATAAATTCGTATTCTTACTTTTTGGCTTTGCGTTTGGCATTATAAAGCTTCTCGCGATACTGCAGCAGGAATTTGTGAACAGCGCGTCCGCCGTAGCCCAAATGACGCGATTTAATCCATTTGGTGTTCATGAAGGGCGGCAGCGCATGCTCACACGATTTGTATGTGCAGCGCAAACCGAAGGCGTTGTGCACCGCCCTTTGGACGTTCGCCCGTCTCGCCAGTCTCTAGCAGATGATACGCCTTGTTGCGCTCGCGCACAACTGTCTCTAGATTGTCCATAGAGATTTTCACCTTATCAATGCGTTCAGGATTGGGAAGATTTCCATTTTATCATTGCATTCGTGCTCCATAGTAAGCAGCATGTTGCGCTCCTTGAGTAAAATGTACCATAGCTGATGCAGCTCCTTATTGGACTTGATGCGCAGCTCGTCTGGTTTCCAGGCGCGCCCCACTTTCACTTCGTTCTCGCTCCAATGTTTAGGATCGTCAAAGAACTCCATTAGGCGTTCCTGTCGCACGGGGCTCGTTGTGTGCACTCCGCATTTAAGTAAACCACCAACTGCTGCAGGGCTTTGTTACATAAAAATATATAAAATTCAAAAACAGTCGAATTACGCTGGGTGACTTTGTTATACTCTATTCAACTAACCTCCATGCTGTTTGGTTCTGTGATGTAGTTAACAAACTTTTGAACGTTACTGTGCCCACAGCTTTGGCCAAATTTAAACATTTAATTAATGTTGAAGACATGCTTTCCAATCAGAGACAGTCCCAGCTGTCCGGCGCTTAGAGATGTGTGACAATATAACGATGCGATGTTTTAAAAAAATCATATAATCGATAGTATTGCAATTGTGGAGTCTTTACCAACTAAACGCAAGTATTTCCGAAGTGTTGTACTTTTCAAGTAAAACATCAGTTGATCGCTAGATACTGTTTTTTAAGTAAAGTTATTACAGCTAAATTGTGTTTAGCAACACGAAAATACGTTTAGGTACTTTAAATTCAGTTATGTACTAAAATTGGAATAATCTTAACAACACTGCGCATTGTTCAACACTCGTTCGCTAACAATCGATATTGACACATCACTACTCAGATAGAAGTACGACGCGTTCTGCTATGTAGTGTATGTTAATTGTGCGCGTTGGTGAAAAATTTGCATTCTGTATAAAAGTAATTTGATTTTATAATGATAAATATTTAAAACGAATGTGCATATGTACTAGCATCATTTAATAATAAAATGTAAGTTAAAATTGCTTTCAAAAGTATGATTATTATTGTATGAAAATTCGCTTGACTTATGCCGTTCCCATCAAATACATATGTACATACGTCTATATATATATATATATATAAATATATATATTTTATATACTTGGTATGCAGGAACGCTACAGCGTTCAACTGCTGGGGTATTTGTGTGTGTGCGGGCATTGCATGCATGATTTGTGTATTTGTTATATTAAGTACACAATTTAAATTGATAAAATTCTAAAGAGCCACTAAATCTGGATTGTGCCATTAAGCGTATGGCGAAACTTAAAGTGCATTTTTAAGTAACTCGTTAGTCTGAGTTGATTAGTTTCCAGTGCACTGGAATTTAGCTGTGCAAAAAAATCATCTCATTCATTGACAAAACAAAACGTTAAGAGTGGGTGAGAGCAGGTTATGTAGTAATCCCCCGAGAGTGTTGTCGTGCTGCTGTTGTGTTTACGCTACAAATGGTAGCAATTGTGCTTGTTATCAGAATTGTCCCTTAATATTGAAACCAAAGTTATTTTACCTGTAAACGCTGCTAGGCTCGTAATACGCTTGGTAAAGCTGTTCAAAGACTGGTGTTGTTGTGCGACAGCAAGAACGTCAAGTACCTACTACTATCGTACTATTGCATAGTTATATATGTATTTTAAGTATTTATGCGTGCATTTTGGACATATATTTGAACATACAACTGTAAGCACACCTTTAGTATTTAGTACCAATTGATGTTATTATTATTTTTTTTTATTGATTTTACGCATTTCAAGACGTCAAAGACCGTACAATTGTTATGTAAAATGAACAATTTGCGCAACTGGATCCAATTCAATTGTAAGGTCAATAAAATAGTGTACAGAAAGTGAATTGATTCATCAATTTGGCTGGGGGCGGGGGCATCTGTTGTAGAATTCAGGGCAGCGCTTTGTAAGGTTCTTTTGTTTTTGCATTTCCTTTTAGTTTTCTGTTTCGCTTTTCGTCGATAAGACACGCAACTGCAGCGGCTTTGCGGTGGTTCACGCCCAAAACATCGCTTCTGCCACAGGGCGTATGTGTGTGTCAGTGACTGTGTGTGCTATGTCAGCCAAGGTTATTTTATTGGGTCTCACAAAAACCGTGCGTGTATGAGCGAATAACTGCTGTATTCTTGTTTTTTTGTATCATTAAGAGCAGTGAAGCTCAAAAAAACTGACATACATATGTATGTATTTGCCCGCCCGCATTTGCTGTTTACAAATCGATACAAAAGAGCAAAACTATCGATATGCGGCAAATGACTGACACTTGTTGCACGTATTTGAAATAGAGAGAGAGAGAGAGAGAGAAAGAGATAGAGGGAGTTTTCATCATAATGTTGTTAAATGATCTCGTTAACGTTAACATAGGCAGCGTTTAAAATGCAATGTGCAGTGGGCTCCATAACAGCACGTTAATATCTAGGAGTGTGTGAATGTATGTATGTACACAAGTAATATATACAGAAAGGTGTTTTTAATGGCTACCCCGCTTAATTAGCAATGCTGCCTAAATATAGCATTGGGTGGTGATAAAGACCAAATAGGAAGCAGTATTTATTTTTATTTTAATCATATTTTGATAAAAAAAAAAGAGATTTACTCATTTGTTTTCTATGGGTAATTCAATTGTTTTTTATAGGGGTGTTAGCATTAATTGCCTATCTTATCAGAACACATGCACAAACATTTAAACATGTATCCGTCTAAAGCAAACGGGGCGTTTAAATTTACGACAAATTATCAATTGCTTGTCGAGTCTTTTGACCTTATGCGCGTATATTATAATTCTTATTATGGATTTAAATGTAAAGTATACTTATGTATACGGTAATTTTCCTTGCCAGGTAATAGTGAAAACAACTTTCATTGTTAGCCCTCATTACCATAGATTACAATTCCTATGTACATATGTATTTTCTTCTATAAAAAGTGCAAGTAAACATTAACATAAGCGGCTCAATTAACATTATGTAAATGAAGATCCTTGGTAGATAAATTTACTGATAACGAGCCGGAACAGCACGGTACCATAATTGCTATCGATAACAATCGCAAAAAACTACAACAACAGCAAGTGCAGCAGAAGCTGCAGTATCCGCAGCAAAGCGACAGACCACTTGAATTAATTATACAATTAAAAAAGCATATTCCCAAGTACAAAATAAAGCCGGCTACAAATGAAAAATTGTAATAAGCTGGCTAATTATGAGATGTTCATATTGTGCTTTTTCTCTCTCCCTCTTTCTATCTCGCACTCTGCTTGCGCACAGTTCAATGTCGCAAGCAACAGCAGCTAACGTCAATCTGGCAACGCCGCCATCAGATAGTGCCGACAATTGTCGCAAGCGCACCTTGTCACGCTCGGAGCCCAAATCTATAATCGATACACATATCCAATGAGATTAACAGCAGCGCTAACAGCTGTAAACGCCCCAATTTGGAATCAGAGCAACAAACAGACATGGAAAGCAGCAAGAACAGCAAAACAATGTTATCGAACTGAGCATTGAGGAGCAGCAACGCGATACCGATAATCGCACCAGTTGCCAAATCTTTTTGCAGCATTTGCCTTGCTTTAAGCTGCAGCAATTGACTACATTGACGCCCATACCCAAATGCCGGGAATGCCGGCGTCGTCATGCGCCGCCCGCAGCATCAGCAGCAGGCAGTGCCAACAGCAGCAGCAGCAACAACAGCAACACAATGATATCTACTGTCGCTTCTATGAGTTTCGACGCCTGCAATATAATGACGCCGGCGAGTTGAGCGTTGCTGGCTTCCCCAATCCCTACGAGAGCCGAGGGTGTTGACTACGCCATTTGGCAGCCAGATGCAAAAACCACGCCCACCGCTGGCTTTATGGATATACAAGTGTGCCGTTACATTTTGTTGCATGCAGGCGATCAGTTTTGCTATTTGTGGCGCCAGGAGGCCGAGGCTTTGAAGCTGCACGAGAATCCAGACGGAACGATTGCATGGAAGAAAGCCGTACAGGGCATACGTGAAATCTGCGATGTCTGCGATACGACGCTCTTCAACTATCACTGGACATGCCGCAAGTGTGGTTTCGGTGTGTGCATAGATTGCTTCAAGGATCGCAAGGAGGGACTGCAAAAGAAGCGGCGGTTGGAAACACAACGCGGTCATGATGAATACCATTGGCTGCTCTGCACCGATGACGTGCAACAACAGCACACGTTGCCGGAGCTGATGTTGACCCAGATAATAGGGGATGCACTCAACGTGCTCGGCCGGCTGTTGCACGAGGTGCGCACATTGTGGCAGGTGCCGCAGGTGTGCGGCTTTTACTGAGCAAGCAACAGGTCAAGGACGAGCAGCTGACACAGCTCATTCAGGACATGATCAAGAGTCACAGCTGAAGCAACAAACCAGCGCCTCCTCGCTGGCCACCGCGCA